ATCGTGATGGTACATGACTGGTAGATGAGTTTCTGAGTGTGACGAACAAAGGTGCCATAAATATCTCGTATTGCTCCTCCCGTTCTTACTTTCGTCCCCTGGTATACTGGTCGTCTTTCCCCACCGGACTTATGTTCGCCTGTCCCCTGGTCTATTTCCTCCTCCCCTCCCCTATCTTACGTTTGTTCGTTCGCTTGCCTACCCCACACCTCCACCACTCCAGGCGACATTTCCTGTATTCTCAAAGCCGGACAGGTATGGGTTAAAGGTGAGAGTTCATCTATTAAACTCACTGAAGATGAATACATAAACTAAAAGCTGGATCATAGACATTTTTTATTATTATTTCAGATCTTTGAATAACTTTTCTTTAGGTTAACTTAGAAAGTGAGCTATTATTGTTACAGGTTAGTTTTCTAAACTACTAAAAAGTAACCGTTAGGGATTCTCAAAAATGAAAAATTTGACTGATATTTATATGTGATAGTAACACTGGTGTTATAGAAGATTTACCAGTATTTTATTTTATAATTTTTTAAAATCCGATTACTCGATTAATCGTAAGAATATTCCTTGATTACTAAAATTGTTTACAACAGTCCTAGTTCATTCAGTTACTTTTGTTGACATCCTTGAACAAAACCAACTCTATTTTCTTTATAGTCTTTATATTAGTGTCACGACTTTTGAACAGATGGCTGATTTGACAGGATACAAAAGGATAATTAAAAAGGTAGGAGGATCAATACAATATGCCATAATTTGGGAAATTATTTTAAGCTATGGTAATGGTTTTATTAACTTTTAGGAGTTGAAATGAAATTTGTTATGATCATTTCTGTAGCAGTTAAGTGTATGCCACCATATTACTGTGATGGGATGGAGTGAAGACAACTTTTCAATACACCTAAATGTTTCAGAAGATAAAACAAACTAACAACAGAAAAAGACAATTTGAGTAAATATAAAAAGCAGTTTTCAAATAACGACTTGACTGACTTGAATTTGGCCCTTAAAGTTAATAACTGGTTGTTTGCAACAATTCATCTTCTACATCATGAGAGATTAGAGTTA